CTTAATGCAGACCGAAAAGGCCTCCAAGAGAGCAAACCAACACTTTGGCCTTCTGCGTAGAGCGTTTGGGAAGTTTGACGCCTCAGTTTTTCCGAAAATGCTTAGCGCTTTTGTTAGACCACACACAGAATAAGCTATTCAAGCGTGGCAACCATGGCAGAAGTGCCACCTCACTGCACTCGATACTGCACAACGCAGAGCGACAAAATACGTCAAAGGTCTTTCCAGCCTTCCTTACCCACTCAGGCTGAAAACTCTTAACTTATACAGTGGACGTTACCGTCGTTTGAGAGGCGATCTCATATTGGTGTACCGGATACTGAGAACCCCCAACCGCATGTGTCATTCCCTTTTGAAACGTAGTCAAAACGCATCCCTAAGAGGTCATCAAGTTAAGTTGATCACACAGTACAGTCGACTAGAATGTCGACGCAATATCTTCTCCCTCCGAGTGTCGCAACCTTGGAACGCCCTTCCAGAACATGTAATTAACGCTCCCACCCTATCCCTTTTCAAAAACGCCTTGACGAAACTCTGACACGATTGCACTATGTGATATAACGTGCGACCATCGGATGATGGTATTAGTGAACAACGAACGTGGACAGGATCCACTTAAAATTCCTATTGGATTACTTGTTTATGTGCATCTCCAATCCCTTGGTGAGTCATGCATTTCACAAGTACTTTCATCGATACGATTTTTTAATTTTACGATGTTAATTCTCATCATCCTACGGGACCTTTCAAGCATTGCTTTTATACCCGTCATAAACCATTGTTCCATTGTTCCATTGTTCCCAAGTTTCCTTGTTTCTGTTTCCATTTAATCTGTGTTTAAAAGGTGACTTGACATTGTCCCAACTCACCTACTTTTCGAGATATAGCCTGTGTATATTGACAAGTGATATAAGGTGATGAACGTTGCACAACCTGTCCTAGCCCACATAATCAAACTGGGCTCCTTTCTACATAAATCTGTGTGAACACCTTGGAAAGTCCACCAAAAGGAATTTCAGTTTATCACTTTGTCTCATTTCACCATGTTGTGGTTCCCATTCTTCCATCCTGCGGAACGTTGTAGGAATAGTATATCCCAGTCCGAGATAGTACGCGTGCAAAGGGGGATACCAGAACACGGAAAAATCCGGCACAACGGATTGTATTCGGGAAATGCTGTAAACGGACGAAAACAAATGAGGCGACGGGTACGAACGTTAGTGTCGTTACTCACCGAGACTACAACTGATGAACCGGACCTAGGTAAAAATGGCCATAAGGTAGACATTAAAATATTAAGTAATAAGCTGCAATTGAGAATTAATAAATTTGTACACAAAAGGATAAAGGACTTATTTTGGTTTGCTACAGTACTCCGCCTAGAAGTCTTTAAAAGTACAAAGAGTCATGAATCGGCGTTTGTAAAATGTCTTTATAAACAAGGGAATATCTGTTCATGTTCGAAAGTGGATGTGGCTGGCATTTAGGATCCGCTGCGACGTTTGTTATTTACTATTTTTTGATTGCAGAGCAGGATGCATTTCGGCAGGACGTTAGAACGGGACTGTCGGACTTCGAAAGATACTGGCTGGTCTAAAAGAAAGGCCAGCAGGATCACAAACTCCACTGCTGCCAAACTGTGCCACACCCCACCCCGTTCTACAACGACCATTGTCCTACGAAGAAACGTCCCTCGTCCGTGTTCAAATCCTTGTTGACTGCGGCAATCGTCGAAAACGTTGCTGGTGAGGACCAGTCGATCGAAGGAGAGAATTGGGACTTATAGGGACGAAAAGCAGTAAAACGCACGAGGAACACGCCAAAGAGAACGAACGAATGGCTTGCGTGCAAAGATGGTTAGATAATTGAATTTTTGGATTTGTTAAATTTTTATCTGCAGTTTTTAACTGTTTGTATTTTCAAGAAGTTAGTCAACCAAAACCGGAGCAAATATGCACTATATTTACAAACAAAAAATTATATACACTAAACATGGTCGGAAAAGTAAACTGGCTTACGGACCTCCCTACCAGAGAGATTGGTCCTGGGAGTCGAAAGGCTGGCAGTACACGATGATGTCGGAACGACCCTATCATGTGAGCATAAATCGTTGCTCACTGCAGGAATGTCACGGATTTGTAACGTAACGCACTTATTACTAGCGTCACATAAAGCGTTTGAAGTGGCAATAGACTCATTGGCTTCGTCGATGAAAGCAGGTTGGATGTAATCGATCGTGAGGACTACGTGTCGGCTACCCTGATCAATAGTGTACGTCTTATTAGTACGGTGAAGAAATTTATGATGTCCCATGTAAGGCATCTGAAAAGATTGCCTAATACCGTCTATACGAAGGACGTGTGAACACGTAGGCAGCTTCAAGGGCATGGACTCTGACGTCTTCTGCCGTCCAGGAGTTGACACACGTAGCTCATACATCTGGTGAGCCAGTCGGCCGGTGTAACTCCTGTAGTCAAAAGTGGAAATGAATGGAGATGGTACCACCAATTGTCCAAGCACATACAGCGTGCAGCCATACAGTAGATACACTGGTGTTGCGTCGAAATTTATTTTGGCCGTGTTTCTATATCCTAGGAGGACGAGAGGAATTGTTTCAGCCTATGATGGATCTGCATGCGCTCGTAGTGCTGCTTATAACGGGCGCAGAAAACGCTCCACCATGTCGCTAGAGACCGGATGATACGCCGTCGTCTGGACCAGGCGTCAGCCTAAATCCTTAAGCAACGATGCGAACGTGGATGAAAAGCGTGGCCCACGATTAGTCGTGACTAAGTCAGGGCAGCCATATTGTGCTATTCAACTTCCTGAACACATTTTCGCAACTGTTGCTGATAATTCACAAGTAAATTTTGATTTTTCGTAATTCGATAGAGTTGTACAGAAACCTTTCTGCTTGCTCTTTAATACAGTCTCAGTCTCAGTCTCAGAGCCCTTATGGATCTATCTGATCTTAGGCCATCTACTGAATCGATCATTGCAACTTAACAGGTATGCCCAGACATTCGTAAACAGAAGCGGATCTACGAGATCTATGTGCACATGCTAAAAACATGCATCTGGCAAGAGAAATGTTCCCATTGGGTTTTTCGTGATCTTATTCACCTTTGTGCGTTGACACGGTAGGCAAGCAGTAGCCCAAGTACGGACATCACGGTGGACTGCGACAAAGGAATCGTGCGATTATCAGTTTAACGGCGCACTACCGCCCGGGTGAGATAACCCATGCAGCGGTTCGAACACCATCAGTTGGAACTCGCGTGGTACGACTTGGCTCGGCATGCCCATCGATGTTTTGCAGAGAATAGTGCCGTCTGATGACGTTAAATTGACAGCTAGGATATCAAGGGAAGATGACCTACGTAATAGATCAACCTCGGTATCGTTTTGCCGTGCGGCTGCCGTGACTTCTAGTTCAATAGCAATGCTGACCTCAACAAAGATCGCGTGAACACGAGAAAGTGAATCGGCAACTGCGTTACCCATACTTGAAATATGTAGCATATCGGCCATAACGCGCGAAATATAGTCTTGGTGGTAGGATTCTCTAAGTGAGTATCTATCGAGCATGTACGCTATTGGCGCATGTGTCTATGGCGACGTATTACTAGCTATATGGCTAGCAGTTCTCTACCGAACCTGCTGTAGCGAAGTTCGGCTTGTTGTCGGCATTTGAAAAACATGCCAAGGGCTGACGCGTGTCACCTACTTGTTGCTGTTACACAGCGCCGGCTGTCACGACCGAGGCTTCGGTGCCAGGTGGTGATCCGATAAAGAAGCTATATTAGCAATAGCCTCTTTCAGCGACTTAAAAGCAGCGCATGCTGCAGCAGGGCATTCGAATGTCTTGAGTTTTCCCCGGAGAAGGTTCGTGAAGGGTTGCGTCAGAGACGTGCAGTTTGGTATGCGCCGTCAGTTAACGTTAATAAGCCCATCAAAGCGCCTAAGCTGTTTGTAAGAATGAGGCTCTGGGTACTCGATGATGACTTGGAGTTTAGCCTGCGGTGGCAGAACGCTTGCTGAAGAGATACGATGGACGAGGAATTTGACTGAGTTGAGAAGAACAGAACAGCTATGTGTTAATCGGCACCTCGTGTTGAGATAACCGACCGGAAAGGGTTCGAGCGTGGTGTAGGTGCTCTTCTCATAAAGCGCTCGCTAGTAAAATGTCCGGATAAGCGTGAGCGATGTCTAAGCAGCGACAAACTTGGCCTCTGAAGGGCCGAATAGTTTGCATGGCATATTTTCGACCAAGTAGTACGCTCAGGCATTCAAACAACCTAAATGTGGTTGACACGGCAGTTTTAGCGATGGGCGCTTCTGATACCGGAATTTGGTTAAATGAGCGAACTAAGTGGGTTTTGCCGAATATTGACCTGTCTGCTAGACTAGCAGCGAGATCCACGGTGTGTGGGATTGTTTAAGTCATTTGATTTCAACTCCCTAAACTTCACTCTATATCATTCTATTGATCACAAATTCTACATTCTTGATTTCATCGGGAGTAATCAGTCGGTTATACTGCAGCTCGTTGTCAGTAAATTATACACGAGCTTTCATTTACTTTCTGCATCGGATTAGCCACACAACCGGCCTTAGTAATTTGGCACCTCTGAGAAGTAAAACAGACAGTAGTAACTCGCTCGAGATAGCGTATACCAAAGTTGGCGAACGATTAAGCTCTATTACTACTGGCTCAGAGTGTAAGGCGAAGTTAGGCCATACATTTTCATCGCGCGCTAAGAACTCTGACCCTCTAAACCAACCCTATAAGCACAATCATAACCTGGAGCTCCTCGATAGGGGAACTGCAAAATTTCTTCTTGAATCAACGTGTCTTCTGTTAACCATACGCTTGGTTAATTTACAAGGTAAAAGCAGCGTTGTATTTTCCGTCTCGCACGTGGCACGCCTTCCATCTCACGTGAATAGTGCGACCGGCACTAATGCCCAATCAACAAGTAGTTGAAGAGGATCCATTTGTGTAGGGAAAAATACGTACGCAGTCCTTATTATACACTGATGTGATCAACAAGGATTGATTTAATAATCTTTCCCGTATCGTTACCATGTTGAGCATTTCAATCAAGGACATCAATTCCTTCCAAACCATAAAGTTCCTCGGGTTCGATAGTCGGTATCTTCACATCTGACAGTTTCCACCCACAGTATTGCATTTCCCAACTGCACTCAGACAGGGAATTCACGAAGGAAATTTGTGTGCGTTCCGCATACTGGAACACGTGTAGCGATCGTCATCTATGATGCAACACTAAGGCACAGTCGGAACTAGATTTTAGTACACTTGGGTGCATATCTTTTAACTGGTCCAAGAAGGGGGTCGGAGCACCCATAGTTACTGTGGTTGTGTCAGCCGCAATTTCAGCAAGCGATTCAAGGTAATAACTAACCACCATGGCGACCACGATATTGCCATCAGCCAGGATCATACGCTTATGAGTCACATTGGCCAATAAGTTGTACTGACTTTCAACTGAACTAAGCGACGTCCGTATGCGCAATGGTAGCCAGCCGAGACCAAGACCAAGTCAGGGTCAAACTCATCGGTAACAAGCAAAATCAATCGAGGAAGGATAAACTAGTAGTCAGCGTCACCAATGTTTTTATCATTCAGAACGACGTTAATGTTAAAGCCACGGCTACTACCGCCACCAATAAAGTCAAGGTTAGGCCGAAAGTGCTGCTCGTCATAACGCGGAATGGAGATGAATTGTGGTAAAAAGCAAAATCAATCGAGGAAGGATAAACTAGTAGTCAGCGGCACCAATGTTTTTATCATTCAGAACGACGTTAATGTTAAAGCCACGGCTACTACCGCCACCAATAAAGTCAAGGTTAGGCCGAAAGTGCTGCTCGTCATAACGCGGAATGGAGATGAATTGTGGTAAACCTTAAACTGTGTCGTTTGGGTTTGATGGACGTCCCAGTCTATTGCATAGTGCGCGGCCAAAGCAACATTGTCGAATACGCTAATTCCACATACTTCACGCTTCATAGCATGGTGAACGGTTGGGCAACTCAGACAGAATGTGTTGCATACATCCTCACTATGGACAGACACCAAAGCTTAAATCACGGAGCCGAACGCGAGACAAGCCGCCATATGAGTATGCTCATTAAAATAGGTGCTTTCCAAAATGCTGAGTTCAGGATCACTCACTGATGCTGTTTCTGTAATGTTTGACGCGCGAGTGGATTCGTGAGCATAGGACAAGAGGTGAACTAAAACTGGCTCTTTAAGCAATTTATCTTTTAGGGAGTCTCTTCGTTGTATTTCGACAAAGTTATAAACCACTTGCAGCCCATCCTGTTTGGTTGGGTCGATTGTAGCATGGTGTGGCAAATCCCACTTTGGAGAATATTAGGGCTGTAACTGGTTGAGAGGCACTTAAACGGTGTACACCTTAGCGAAATTCGTTTTCATCGCTGCTACATTTCGATCTCGCAGGGGTGGATTTCCTATTTACCATTTTCACAAACAAGGTAGTATGTGCCGAGCAAATTCATAATTGTGTACGACTTCAGCATTCTTGTATCCCCAAGAAACAGCAACTTCGAAATACACATCTAAAAGTCGCACCGAGTTTGTACATACGACAGGGGGTCTTGTCTTCCAAAGACAGTGCACGGCTACTTGAGGCCACATCTTCACAACCATTGTCGTACAAAACCCACAACCGCCCTCTTAACGATGACTCTCTTTCACATAGTTTACGGAAGCACAGGATTGGCTGCTACCATCTACCAGCCTCACTAATATCCATCCGACACTTGTTTCGCTCCAAACGGCTGACCACAACCACAGAACCGCTGTTACAACGGCCAGTGTGTCTGATGAACATCAGCAACCAGTAATATTCTAACATCTGAATCTTTCAAAGCTTGAAAAGCAACATTCCATAACTGGTCACCGAAATGCTATTTGGCTAGTGGGCCCCTTTACTGGGCGCAGTGGCAGGTGGGCTAAGCAATAAGCTAGTTTCACGGTAACAGCATCCTGCCTCTTCAAGTGGTGTCCAACGGAAACCAGTAATTCCGGATTCAAAAGAGTTGAGACCACTCAGTCTGCATCTTCAGCGTAAGTGGGTTCATCTCTACACCAGGCTTTCGTATCAAATCCTTCTGGACCAGGCTGATGGTTGACCCACTGTCCAATATAGCGTAGGTTTCAACCGAACACAATGACCCTTCTAAACACTGGCAAAATTTCAAGAGAAACACTTTCGGATTCCGTAGGGTCGTTGTGGTAACTAACTAAGGCTTTTCAGGGACTGTCGTGCACGCACCCCGCCTGTGTCGGCATTCGCTCTGCTTGTAGCAGGTGATATTTATTTTTAAAATTGAATCGATTGCGTCTTGTACCTCTACGACAAATTGCAGCACGGTGACCCAAGCCGTGA